GGGGGCGGGGGGGGGGCGCGGGCGGCTCCGCGGAGCGGAGGAAGGCGGGGCCTGAGCTGACGGTTAGGGGCGTTAAAGGAGCCGTTAGAGGCGTTAAAGGGGCCTGAGCGGACGGTTAGAGGCACTAAAGGAGACGTTAGGGGCGTTAAAAGCGCCAAGCACTGCGTGCTTGGCGCTTTTAACGCCCCTATCGTCTCCTTTAGTGCCCATCAGGTGCCGCTTTGCCCTCGGGAGTCCTGTGGGAATGAGGGGGCTCCCAGGAAGCACCCCAGACCTGGGAAGAGGAGAACTGCCCCCCTCCCCACACGTTGTTCCCACTCCAGCCCCGTTAAGGCTTTCTTAAAACAGGCTGTGTCCTGGTCCATCATATATTTTACCTTAGGAGCGACCCACCTGCTATGAGTTTGTGAGGCCTCTTAAGCACTGGGTGGAGGAAAAACTGTTTTCTTCTCTTTGTTTTGAACTGGGTTATTCACCTGGATATTCATCTTTTTAATCAGAGATGACAAAACTTATTCATTTTTGTCATGCCATCTGTGACTTATAGGTCTTTATATGTCTCTTCCATCAACTCTGGCTTGACTTAAAAATATTAGTCCATATAATAGTGCTTTAGTGTAGGAATAACTTAATGACTTTAATATCCCTGTTACTTTTCTCTCTATGGTTCCTATCTGTACAGGATATTTTTTGAGATGCATGACCAGGACTGTAGGCCGTAATTTGTGGTATGAAGATATCCTAAGTTTGTATAGGAGTGTAGTGATGAAGGCTTTTGGCTTTATTTTCTGTTATTCTTGAGTAATATTTTGGGTTGCTTAGTAGCCTTTTTTTCTCTTGCTTTTCTGATAATAACTATGACAAAAACTTTTGCACGTAGATGATGAGGCCTTGTTCCTCATCCTCCACAGAATTTCTTCAGTTTGTTGGTGTGTTATTCAGTAAATCTATATAAGCATTTTCTGTGGGAGCTGATCTAAATTTTTGAAAATCTAGGTCTGCTCCATTAGCTGTATTGCTCGTGCATTTGTTCCTCGCAGAAAGCTGATAAATATTTGAGGCATTATTTCCTTGTGCAAGTTATATGGACTGTTCCTGAGTATTTTATTTAGCCGTAGGTCTAATAGATCAGACATGACTATTATTTCTATTATTCACACTTATTTTACCAGTTTCCTGAGTAGAAAATCGGTATCCTTATTTCCTAGGTAATATATTTGTTGGCAGATTCCCTGAATCACCCCTGGAGCCCTTCTGGAAGCTGGTGCTGCACTTGTCACCTTCCAGTCCACTTGTAACTACCCCTGTTTCACCTATTCCCATACCAGAACTAGCAGTTTACCAGTTCCATCTCCCAGTGCTCTAGCTCTTGGCTGAATGTGTTCAGACAAGGTTGGTGACTTAGTGCTCATTTTATCGTTTCCTTTTAAAGCTCCTTCAGTCTTAACCTGGGGGCAGTTCTTCAGGGTCATCCCATCAAGAACTGCTTTGCCAAGGCAGCCTCAGCCTTGTCTCCAGTGAATACTAATGGCAGTAATTCATTTGCTTTTGGCATACTTGGGTTTTTCTCTGCACCTAGTTGTTTCACGAGCCCCATTGATTATTTAGCTTTGATCATATCAAAATAATCCAGCTATTCCAACCAGCGGGTTTATTCACAAACTGTTCTTCAAAAACTCTTTGTTTACTTTGCTGTGGTTTTATGTTGCACTTACTGGAGTTTTGTGGAGCTTTCTTGTTTCTCTCACTTTATCTGAAATATTGTCTTTATTTCTTTTTTTCTTTGTGAATAGCTGATAATTTTGAGAGTCTCGTTTAAGTCTGGAGCTTAAGTTCTGCAAATCCAGATCGTTCAGATATCTGACAAAGCAGAGTATCTTAAAGCAGCAATCCTTAAATCTTCCTTTGTGATGTCTATTAAAGACTTTCTTGCCCGTCTCCTTTAAGGTGCACTTTCAGTAAGGAAAAAGAATGATTATACAGTGATAAAATAGATCGAAATGGAAAACCACGGATCACTTCCTAGTGTTTTTCGGTTAGTGTAATCTTAGGGTGCGCTGTCCAGCAATTTAACCTGATCTAAGCTGAGACTGCTGTGCACCTCTGTCCAGTTCTGTGCAGCTCATCCCTCTTCTCGTGAGAACTTCCAAGAATTCATGAAGCAAAACCACCTAAAAATTACCTTTGTTTTTTCCATTTATTCTTTTTTTTTAAGCAGGGGATAGGATGTCTGTGGGTGTTTTCTTTCCTTTATGTTAACCCTGTGTGACTCCACAAACAGCCGCCCTTTCCAAGGGAGAAGGAGGAGGAGGAGGGTGGTAGGGCTGGTACCCAAGGTAACGAAGGTGAGACAGCAGCAGCCTCAGTGGGATTTGCCTCTAGCAGGTCTGAAAGAAAAGCTCTCTTTTAACACTGACATCAGGAATTCACTTCTGGAACAAATGTGACTGTACTGGTAGTTATAATGACTGCTGTTACAGTTTCACCTTTGAAAAACTAAAGTCAGCTTTCACTCTTAATTTTTTCTCTCAGTTGTCCTGTATCTCTAGAGATAGCCTTTTATAATTACTAGATATTAATGCTGCTAGTCTTGGAGCATAGAAACAGCTGAATGATTACAGACCTTAAGGTAGTTCTAATGAATTTGTATTCGTAGTGCAAATATCGAGCCTCATTGTTGCTGAATATAGCATTATATCTACAGACACTTGCTTGCTAGAATATGTTTTACAGCACAGAGGTGTTACTGGTGTGCTGCCACTGAGCAGAGTGTCTCCACAACTGTGCTGCCCAGCTTATAGTTTAAAATGTGTCTTATTCTCATATTGTTTATTTGCTGATTAAAAAACGATGTTGATTAAAAAATGGTAGTGGTGTTGACGAAGCTGGGGGAGCTGAGTGATGCAGAAGGTCGCACAAAACAGCCCACGGCTGGGTTTGAATCCTGCTTCGTGTTTAACATTACGAAACACGGGAAGTCTTTAAGGCCAGAGCCTAAGCAGCTGCAGGAGGGTTACAGAGTCACAAGTTTATTTCAGTGTCAAGGGTCTGCAGTGAGGTAATTAATGATAAAATCCTTATGGGAGCTTCAGCTTTATCCTTCTGGACTAAAGGATCTGTTGGAGACCAAGATAGTACGCAGAGAAGAGAAAAATCCTGTGAACAGTATTTCTTATTGGATGTAGTTCAATATGGATCTTTTTTGTACATAATGATGTAACAGACTGCTTCTCTGATAGCCAATTCAGGCCTTTTCTTCACAGGGAAGACGTAACCATTTTTTTCTGGTTGTTTACTTTTTTTGCCACTCTTCTTTGTTCCTTTTTTAATATCCTGACAAGCACTGTGGTTGTTTCAGGCTGTGCTAGTTCTTCAGTTGAACTCCCAGGGCCAAAGTTTGGGAGTGTTTCTCTGTGTCCCCCGTGGGGAAAACCCGAAGGAGACATCAGCGTGTTGCACCACATGCTACCTGCCCAGCATGCTGGGGATTCACAAGGATTTGGGAATGCAGATATTTCCATAGGGAGTCCTGAAAGCCAAGTGCTCCAGACACTGTTCTGTACAAGTGGTCTCCACTGCTGCTTCATGTAGACCAGGCCTTATTGAACGTGAATAAATGACCAGTGAGTATTTTGTATTGTGCATCATCAGTCCCTTCTACAGAGAGGCTTCAATAGAGGTATTTTCCACAGAGGTGTTAAAGTACTTTCACTCACTGTGCTCTCTTATTCATGAGAATCTGTCAGTGATGGGTCCAACTGAAAAAATAAGGAAATGTGATAAAACTGAATTTCCTGGCAGAAGTACTCAAAGTCAGCAAAGTGGCGAGGGTCACCAGCCACTGCCTTCTGTCCCAGTTATGAAGAATAACCTCTAGCTATTGTGAAGTTAATTTTAAATGAGAACATAATCATGTGCTCGTGTGAGTTTGCGTTTTGGCCCTGCAGCCCTGGTCTGGTTTTATAAGTAGCGAAAAAGTGAAATTCTGGTTTGCATTTGAGGTTTGGTTGTGGAGGTGGCGACTTTTTTCTTCCCCCCCCCTCCGCCGTCCTTTCCTCTCCCGCTGCAAAAACTGACAGCTTCACTGCTGCTGTTCATCGCTGATAGCAGCTGTGCTTCATCTCATTGTCACTGCTCCAATCCTGCAAAAATTCATCTTGGTGCAAAAACGCCCACGGTGGCTTTCGCTCCCGTGGCCCGCAAGGAAGGCGAGAGCAAACTCCCTGGCCCGGAGTTCTCCAGCGCAACGCTGAGGTTGCGCCAGCCTTTAATGAGGCATTTATGTGGGATTTACTAGTCACTAGAGATACATGCTTCAGATAAAAGCCTATATTTAGCATCCGCTGTGAACGGATGGGTTCTTTTCCGGCTCTTCTGTACACCACGGAATCTGAGCCTGCCTCTTACCCAGATCCATCACAAGTCCTTTGTCGGGAGGAGCGCGGCTCTCGGCTCCTTTGTTGTCCGAGCACGGGTCTCCTGACGTTTAGTCCTGCAAATCTCTTGTGCCACTGCCCAAATGTGAGTTTGGGGCATTTCCTGCAGCCTTTCCCATCCAAGACTCTGGTCTCTGTGCCTCTCCTCACCCCGGATATTCAGGACAACCTTACTTGTCCGCACGCAGCCTGTGTGCTTTTTAGTCCCTGTTTATCTCTGTCACTCCTGTCTCTGTTTACAGTATCTGCTCGTGTCCTGTGCTGCTCTTCCCGCACATGAGCGTGGAGGGAAGATACGTTATTGTGCAAGGAGGCACCTGTAGCTGCCACCCACCCGTCAGCCCATGTGCTGGCGAGTGTCGGTATGTGGGGCACTGCCTAGTTTCCTTAGTTTATTTTTCTTAGTTTTCTTTCTAGTTTCCTTTGCCAGATTGTTACTAAAATAGGAATTCTGTCCTTTGGGACATACAGCTTTGCTTGAACTCTGGAAGACCATATCTGAGCAAGGCCAAAATCGTGTCCAAAAGGGGAGGAAACGCAGTCAGATTTGGGAAAGGGGCTATCTCACAAGCATAACCTGGTTAGTAATCACACTAACAAGCTGCTCCACTTGGATGTTCTTGTGAAACAGCACGATTTTGTGGTGTGGCATATAAACAAAGTAGTTGGGCTGTGAGTTTTTTGGAAAGCCAGACAAATGACATCTTCCAAAGAGGGCTGCATCCTGTGACTTGGCTGCTCTCGCCTGCAGGATATGTGAAAGCATGTGACTTTTTGTTTGTTTAATTATTTCTTTTCTTTTTTTTTTTTTTTTTTGGTTGCTGCTGATCATCAAGTCATATGATCCTGTTCTAGATTTCAGGAGGCAGCTGTATTGCCCTGGTTTCATTTTGAGTGTGAGGCTGATAGTTCGTGTGGGTTCCTTATTTCTTTTCTTTTAATTTCAGTGTCTGAGCAATGTCTGTTTTGTTTGAGAAGAACCTTCTGCTTTGACTAATAAGGCAGAGACTGAGTTAGTAATTAAACCAAGTAGATGAAAGTGAATGAATGTTGTTTCTCTGGTATTTGTTTAAGGCTTTATTTAGTGAAGTAGAAAATTTGCAAAGTTGTCTGTGAAGTAAGCTATAAATAAGGAAGAGAGTCTCCTAGGGATAGTCAACCTAATCCCAAATGGTCAGAAATAGCAGTTTAATGATCTGCACGGTCTCTGCTAGGTTGATTTTGCACAGTTAGGGAAATATTCCTCCTGTCCAGAGACAGGTGGGTGTTTTGCTCTGTGGGAAGGCTCTGGTCAGGCCTTGCTTTGAGAGCCTTTCTCACACCAGTTCTTCTGTTGACATGCTCTCCCTGAGTGAAACAGTGCCTGGGTCCTTGGTGGAAACCTGTATGTGTGATGTTCCTCTTGCACCTGGGATAGGAGAGCTCCAGGTCACCTAGTTTTTCCTCTTTAGCCATGGTTGGGTACCAGTGCGCTGCAGGAAGATGTGCCAACACGTGTAACAAACTGCTTCCTCCACGTGGATCTTCTCAGCGCGTCCTCTTCACCAACAGTTTCCTACAACCCGTATAAACTGTTGAGCAGAGGTATCTGTAAACACCTGGGCCTGGCAGCATCACCTTCTAGCTTGCAGAGTCCTTTTGTGTGTCTGGCCCGGGTGAGGATTGGTTGGCCTGCTCCTCCAAGAACTCTCAAAGACTCAGATATTCGTTGCAATAGAGCAGTGCCAGAGCCCTGGGACAGGCTGCTCAGAGAGGCTGTGGAGTCTCCATCTCTGGAGATCTTCCAAACCTGCTTGGATGCCACCCTGTGCCACGTGCTCTAGGTGACCCTGTGTGTGAAGGAGGGTTGGACTAGATGACCTCTAGAGGTCCCTTCCAACCTTAAGCATTCTGTGGTCAGAGAGCAACCCACCAGCATCACAAGCAAGTGCAGCTGGTTTGGGTGGAATGATGGCAGCTTGTCCATGTCAGGGTTAGATTCCAGTTTGTTTCCTGGTCTTGATTCTGACTCAAATTGAGCGCTGTATTTAAAGTGATTGCTTTTCATTCAGACATGCATGAAGACAACTGTCTTTGGAAACCTTAATGAAGAGTATGGAGCCCTTGAGCCATTCAGTTGATCCGCAGCTAAATTGGACTAAGTTATTAATTAGCAGCTCACAAATTTTTGGTGTGTTTGATATCCACTGGAAACCAGATGGAGATGAGTACCCAGGCTCACTCTTTGAGTGCTGCACAAAATAGGGACGAGAACCCATTTTTCAGACCTCCAGTGGAGAGTTTTCTGTGCTGTTTCTTGGACAACTCTCTCCAGGCCTTTCCACACAAGACTTATTTCCACTTGTATTCCCTTTGGGATGACGAGGGAAATAGTCACAGTTAAATATACTAAATGTAGTAAATATAGTAAAATACTGTTAGATTTTTGTGGTTTTAAGTAGAGATATTTTCTATTACCCGATACGCCTGAAGAGGATTAAAAAAAATGTTAAGTTACATCATCTGGGTTAAAACTGCATGCTCCTATACAAGCTTAACCTTTATATAAGGAATGCAGTTCAAAAGACTGCTGTGTATGGAATTGGCTCCCTTGCCACATCTGCTTGTTGCTTTCAGAGCAATAATAGAGTGTGAGGCCATGGGAATTTATTGTTCTGCTTGTGAAAGCTGAGGTGGTTGGATAAAAGATGCCATTGGTGTTTGAATTGGTGGCTGAATACTTGGAGAAAAAGCTCTTTATTAAAAACGTGAGGTGGCCCCCAGCTCCAGGGAGCTGACCTCTTGCTCAGAACGTTCTCGACTTCTTTGCTGATGCATCTTGGTGTTTAACTTAAAAATCCTTTCCTGTGCTAAAGTAAAATTGCAAAGTGTAGTGACAAACTCTGGTTTTGCCTTTAGCCTTGATGGGAGGTGAAAGCAAATGAGGAAACTGTTGATGGTCTCCGAGTTGTGAGCGGATGAGAAGTTGCTGCAGTGCGTCTGTTCTTGAGGTCTTTAGAGTGTTGCCTTTGCCACCAACTCCGTTTTCTGCTTCTTTCACAAAGACTTCAGTCTTTGGTGACTTGGCAAATATCTTGAAGGTTGGGTTTCCTGAAATAAAAATACATAAAAAATAAAAATACAATGAGGCAAAGACTAGCTGCAGCAGAAACAGGATGAATTGAAGCTATCTTCCAAAAGAGAAGAATGCAGAAATCCAGGAGGAGATGGAAAGGGAGGAACCGCAGGGAAGTGTTTTGGGAGAGCCTCAGTCAGCTCTGTTGTAGAAGCCCAGGGGGGATGACTCGTGGACCACGGTGAAGGTAATGAAGAAGGAAAGCCAAAATAGCTGTTAAATTTGAACAGAAAGTAGACAAGTGTTTGATTGCTGTGGCTTCCACCCACGCAGTGCTGTGCAGTTGGGCCCTGTGTCGCTGTACTCTGTTTAAAATAATGACTCTTCACCATTTAGTTTGAATAAACTGAGCATGGATTCATTTTCACATGTACGGGGTATGTGAAGTATGGGGTTTTCTTTTATGGGAAAAAAAAAAATTTTAGTGTGTTGTCAATGCTTTTTCTCCGTCTGATACCTGCATTAGTTTACGGATTTGTGTTTAGCAGCAGCAAGCCTTAGAGAGTAATTACACGTTGCAAGTAAAACTAAAAGCAGACGAATTTAGGAAGGGCAAGAGGAAATGTTAACAAGTGCCTTCTTGCTTCAGCCTTACAGGAACTAGGAGTGTCCTGGGTTTCGTCCGTCCCTCCCCCAAGGGCCTCTTAGTCATCTCAGATCTGGTTGTGATCTGTGTCCCCATGGGGCAGCGCTGGGAGGCTGTTTCTGTGTGGGGTAGGACCTCTGGTGTTCGTTTTCCCTACCAAATAACACGCTGATTTTGTCACGGCCTTCAGGGTCTCTCTCAGCGGTGCCAAGGGCCCCAACGTCTCGTGCTTCATGGCCTATATGTCCAGCGTTGGCTCCCAGCAGGGCTCGGGTGTCCCATTCATCAGCCCTCACGCTGCTTGAGGGGGCTGCTCTAGCTGAGTGGGTTGACAGAGTCTTGAGGTTTAATAACAAGAATTTAGGACTAAGCAATTTAATTTGCTTTTTCATAACTTGTTCTCCTCTCCTTCCTTCCCCCATGTCGGTGCCATCCCACAAGCGAGGAGTCATAATGGGCATTTATTGAAAGAGGGGAGATTAATTTGTTATTTTTAATTTGTTTCTGCATACACAAACACTTCTATAAGCCCTTTGGGGGGCCAGAGACCCTCTGAAAAGGAAGTGGGGGGGAAAAATGTCTCCATTCCCAAATAGCACCTGCCTGTTGTTGCTGCTCTCTCCTTGGAGAGGACTCAGCTTTCCTGGGGACGATGATTCCCCCTTTCCTTGTCCTGCTTCTTGGCTCGCTTAAAAATACGAGAGGCCAGCCTATGCCTTGTGCTAGCCAGGCCTATGGCTGTCTGTCTGTACAGCTCTTTCTCCCCCTCTTAGTGCTTGGCATTTTTCGTTGGACATAATTTAATTCCTTATATCCCTCCTTGATGGAGAGCTGGAAATGGACACTTAGAGTTGTAGCCACCTCTGTGACAGGAGGTTCCTCCTAGGTTAAAACGCAGCCGTTAAAGGTAACAGCTAAAGCCTAAATGGCCAAGGATTAAATGGCCCTTCTGCCCTCCCTTGCTTGAGAGACGTGTTGGAGGATGTTGAAGGTGTTGGTGCTGTGGCGGCATCTTCAAAACAGTGACCCATGTTTGTCATTTGTGTGCAGCTCCCTCTGGGATTTTCATGTTCCTGATCTTCCTCCTCCTCTGAGCAAGTTCTCATGCCCTGGATAGGGAAATTGGGGGGTTCTGGTAATAGGATAATGTCCTGGGAGACAGAGGCACCAGGAGATGTCCCATGTGAAGTGCAAGGCTGGCTGTTTCTGAGCGAGCCAGGCCGCTGTCTGTTTTGTGGCTACTTTGGGATGGAAGGGTATTAAATCCAGTCCTGATCCATGCTGAATTTTGCAAAATTTTCCAGAGGTGAGTAGAGGCAGGTGAACAGGGAGAGTGATTTGTTCTGGAGAAATGGCAAGTATTCTCCTCTGTTTAGTTTCCCAAAGGTGCCCAGGAGGGCATGTGCTCTGCACCACAGTAGCAGTACAGGGGGTGGCTTGATTGCCCTATAGCTAATACAGGGAGTGAACTCAATTGCTTGGCTTTTTTTTTTTTTTGGTCTTGGATCATATCTTTTCTGTCTTTATTTATTTTTCAATCCTCACTACATGAATGCACCTTTACAGAAATGTATAGTAGCTATTCTAAAATTAGAGCAAATTGTGATCTCTTTGGTATCTAAACGGTGTGCTCTAATTTTGTTGTTTTTTGTACGTACATTTGTGAGAGACTTACGAAACTCTCCTTATTTTCCTTTCAGATACGGTTGAATCCATGCTGTCAGACTATGACATCCTTTCTCAGTCCAGTATCCAGCAGCACTCACTGAAGAAGAGGGACCTCCAGCCTGAGACGCATGTAGAGAGACTCCTAAGTTTTTCAGCTCTGCAAAGGTAATTAAAACATCAGGAAAAAAAAAGAAAAAAAATGCACCTTAATATTTTCTTTCATTCTGTGTGATGAATAATGCAGAGTTTCAAAAAATAGAAATGCCTCTGTTTGCTGCTGTGGCCAGGTCTTACAAGGCACTGATTTCTGCGGTTATAGAACTGCAGAGAGACTGGTGGGGACAGAGCAGGATGATGAGCCACGTTTCTTTTTGTTGAAATGGCAGTGACTTAAGTTTTCTTGCTTTATTATTTTCTCTGTTTTCATGCAGAGTATTTGTGCTAATTGGGTTGAATTTCATTTTTATTTCTTCTTGGCTACATCCTCTTTCTTGATTGCCCTCTGGTTCTTGCAAGTCAGTGCCTTTGCTTTGAGGCGTGTGTGTGCTGTGTTGTGCTGCTTCAGAATTGTTTCCATCCTGTTCCCATTGAATATAAGCTTCCCATTCTACAAAACTTTTATTACCAAGTTTCTGCTTGCTGGGTGTGATAGCCTTTTGTTTTGTGATATTCCCTGGGCTGGGGATTTTTCTTGCATCAAATTCTACAGAGTTCAGATTTCTTTTGGGCGTCTTCTGGTATTACTTAAAATAATGTTCTTCTGGTTTTTAATTAATAGTAGTAATCAGTTTTGACCTTTTCTATGGAGAACGAACAGTTTACAGCTATGAATTATGTGGCAAACATTCTTGTAGCCTGCTTGGCAGTCCTAATACTTTCTACCTTTTCTGCAGCCTTCAGTAAAACGAAACTCAGATCTGTCTCTCGTGTGTGTGTAGTTTGCTTAAAAATAAACGGCAATGAATTCTTTTACAGGCACTTTAAATTATACTTAACTGCAACTGCTGAACACTTTTCAGAAAAATTCCAAGCATTAATTGTGGATGGTGAAGGCAAGGAGAAGGAGTATCGTGTTCAATGGCAAGACTTTTTCACTGGACATGTTGTTGGTTAGTACCTGTGTCAATGCTGGGGAGGCACCACTTGGTCAATCTGTTGGCCAGAGTAAAGGGTATTTTGCAGAAATTTCCATCAAATACATTTAGGAAGAATAAGTAAACTTAATTCTCACACCCCTCAGATTGTGTGTTGTGATTCTTTATGGATTGTTTTGTTGGTGGAGAGGGCATCTTGCTCCATTGACTGGAGTCAAGCCCTAGAGCCTCCCCTAAGTTTTGCTTCCCACGTTGCCTATGCCATGCGGTGGGGGTCAGTTCCCATGGGATGCAGCCCCAAAAGCCCAAGCTGCTTTTGTTGGCAGGAAGTTCAGTGTCCTTGTTGCTAATCCCTGGAGCCATCACACCACCTTCTGCAAAAGTAGAATGATTGATAATCATTCAGGATTTTGATTCCTGTGGCAGTTGGGAATTTCAGGCAGAGGGAATGGTTCTTGTTGACTGCTTTTCTGATTTTTTTTTTTTAATTATTTTTTAATTTCTGAGAATAGGGCTCTTCAGAATGAGGAAGGACTTTTATCTGGAAGTTTAAATTGTAGAAAGGGGTATTTTTGCTCTTTACCTGATCAGTCTTTCTATAGAAATCTGTACTCAATAACTAGATCTCAATTAAATGATTTATTTTTTCCTCCATTGCGTTAAAGGGGAGCATAACTCTAAGGTTGTGGCACATATTGGGGATGAAGACTTTACAGTAAGAATCAGTACTGACGGAGAAGAATACAACATCGAGGTATGTTTTACTGTTAAAAGCAACGTGCTCTTTCTCTGTGGGTGTCTGTCTTTCTAGCTAGTCACATTGACACCTCTGTCATTCCAAAGGGGCTTGGTGGTGGTGGTTGAATTGGGGCAAATAGGGAGGAAGGAGAGAAATAAGAAACTGACTTTTACGGGTGTTAAGTTTTATTAGTGAGAGCTAATAGGCAACACTTGCATGATTTACATAAAGCTGGGAGAAAATACATCTCAGGAGAAGATTTTTAGAGACTGAAGTGAGGAGCATTCACAATTGGTGACAGTCATGTCCCCCTAGAACAGCAACCTGCAGTGTTCCCCAAGCAAGGGGAGAGGTTTGAGCTTTAAAGATTTTTGGCTTTTCTTGGATTTTTTCATTATTAGAGTTTTGTTCGGAGATCTTTACGTGCTGTCTGATTCCTGCTTTTGGACGTTTTTGTTGCCTCTGCTATTTTAGACTATTGGTTGCAAAAGAAATACTTCCCAAACATGTGCTGCAAGAGTGAGCTTGAGCTCCCCAACAACTCACCAAGTGAGTTGTTGAGCGCAGTCATTTCCAGACCCAAACGGTGTCAGAATGGCTGAAGTGCCAGCTGTATGGATGTTAACACTGCCCTGAACCCAGACCAAATTCATCAGGTTTCAATTTCTTGAGTTTAGCCATAATTCTGTAGTAGGAAACGGTGCAATTGGAAAATCAAAACCACTGCACTGGCCTTGCAGCTGCTTGGCCCTGACCAAGAGCCCTCTGAGCGTGAACCCGGTGCGTCCTGCTCAGCCCTGCCTGGGACAGCCCCTAGTGCTGTGCGTAGGGCTGCATCTGTTGTGCCTCTAGCCTAATGAGCATGTGGCAGTGAAAATTAGGATAAATACGTATTTGCCAGGGCAATAAAAGCGTGTTGCATGAAGGAGTGACTTCTACAAGCCTTTTTATGGAAGTAGTTTTGTTGTTATATGTTTTTCTGTGGGTAACATGATCACTGCAGTGTAATTACATGTAGAATTGTGGACCTTTGTCTAGATATATGGCTTCTACCTGTATAATGACGACATTCAGGGGGTTCTGACCAGTTGCGTTTCTGCCTCTCTTGTGCTGCCAGCCACTCTGGAGGTTTATAGATAATGTGCAAGATGAGAGACTGCTGGTCTACAGATCTGAAGATATTAAAGATTTCTCACGCTTGCAGTCCCCCAAAGTGTGTGGTTATTTAAAGCTGAATGAAGAAGACCTGTTGCCCAAAGGCCTGGAAGATAAAAAGCAAAATGAAGGTGAGTGTCCCTAGCCTGGGAGAGCAGAGCCTTGGCCGTGAGAGCTGCTGTTCTCTCCGGGTAGGTGACTAAGGTGAGAGCCTGGCCAGTCATCTCTGCTGCTGCTTCTGGTCTAACTGTTGGCTGTTTAAAGTCCCTGGTAATGGGGGGGGAGGAAAGCAAAGGTCCTCCTCTGTAATCACTCAAATCCAGCCTGAGCTGTGATAGATTGTGAATACTAGGTAGGTAAATCTATCTAATAACCCTGATTGCACCACTGTGTGTTCTGTAGTACAGGTGACGTAGGCAACTGTTAGGAAGACCAAAACAAAAGTTATTCTCCGTGCCCCACCCTCCAAAAAAGTAACGTTCCCATCTCAAACAGGAATAATATAGACACCCTAAGCAGTTTTAGTGATTTGTTTAATTGTGCTTAAAACACTCCCACTAGCAAGCGCCCGTCGGGAGAAAAGAGCCGTGGCGGCGAGCTCGAAGAACACGTGCAAGATGCTGGTGGTGGCGGATCATCGCTTCTTCAAGTACATGGGCCGCGGCGAGGAGAGCACCACTATCAACTACTTGGTAAGGCACTGCCCTCTGTTGTGATTTGCTAGACTAAACAGGGAAATTAAGAAGTCGTCCAGTGGTTTTACCACAACTTAAACTCCTGCAGCTTTTCTGCATTGTGTGTTTCATGGCTGTGTATGATTTTTACTTAAGCAAGTGGTGTGTGATGATTTAAACTTGTTTATAATGGTGATAATACTGTACTTTTAAATGATCTTCAAGTTTTACTTACAGGCAGAGCCCCTCATTTCACACACTGGTTTTGGCAAGTCTCTCAAACTTGCCTTTTTACAGTAAGAGTTTTGGAGTCTCCTGGTTCTTGACCTTCATGTCCCAGCACGACTGAAGTTGATAGGAGAGGCACAAGCCTCTCTCCACGTGCTCCAGGGTTACCTGCCAGGACAGTAAAGTCAGTACGGAGGGTGGTTAGCGTTTGGCTTGGCTGTAGGTGAGGCTGCTTAACCTGCCTCTGCTGTTGCTAGGTGAATTCTTCTCTACTCCACAAAAATGCAGATATGGGGTTTAGAACTGAAGACAAAACCAAATAAAACCACCTTTGGGGGCTGCTTTTTCTTAAGAGTCTCTCTTGGAGCCCAGATCTTGCCGTGATGGCAGTTGCTCTGCCTTCCCTGATGGGACCTTTCTGTCCCCAGCAGTGTTTGCATGGGGCAGGTGGAGGAGCCCCAGCTGCAGGGCGTGCAGGGAGGCTGACATCTGGCTGTGCTCCTGGGAAGAGGTGTCTGTGCTCAGGACACTGACAGGAAGCTCAAGTATTTGAGTGCTCGTGAATGTCACTCTCTTGTGAGCAAATTTGATGATACATCTTTAGTAGAAAGCTGATTTTTAAGATGAGAACAACTTGAAAAGTGGGGTATAGACTGGGAGCATTGAAGAGAGACTCTGGCATGTTGTGCTTGAGCATAATGAGGAAAATAATAATAGTTTGGCTGGCAGATGGAAGCCAGTGCCTCAGGTGACTCCCTCAGGAGCCACTTGAGCCACGAAGCCCAGAGCTAGAGCAGAGCAGCACGAAGAGCCCCTTCTTCTGCCCAGCCTTTCAAAGAAACTGGGAAAACTGGTGTATGGAAAAATACTTCCCAAGTTGCCTCGTTCTTAATGTTATCTTTCTTCCGCTGTGCAAATCAAAGCGGTAAATGGCAAAGCTTTTACTTTACTTTAAAAACTTTACTTCTGTTTGGTTTTTGTGATGGAAAAATCTGTGGGGCTACTTCAAACTGTAGTTCTGAATCCATGTACTGTTTTGGGAATAGTGAATAACAGTCTGATAACAGTTTTATGAGATTCAGTTTTATTTTGACATGACTCTTTCTACATAAGTATTTTGCACCTTCCTTGAGTGTCTTAATGCTCATTACATGAGACCTCAAAACTAAATATGTTTTTTTTTCCCTACCTAGATTGAGTTGATAGACAGAGTAGATGACATCTACCGAAACACTTCCTGGGACAACGGGGCCTTCAATGGCTACGGCATTCAGATAGAGCAGGTAGGCCCAGGCAAAGCACCTGAGTGTGCCTGAAATATTAGAGATTTTATCTGGATTAGAGCTAAAATAACCACATCTTACGTTGTTACCTGCAGCCAGAAGTGCTCTGAACGTGAGTGTTAGTGTTACACAGATGGTGTTAGTGATTTCTGCACTGTGGCCATTTTCATCTCCTAGCAGCTTTTTGGGGGGATTTGCAGGGAGAGTCTTTTCATATTTGATCTGAATTCAAAGGTATTTTCTTCCTGAATATGAACAATTCTTGTCTCAGTCAAATGTACCCTTACACAAATATTTACTGTGTCTGTCTATGACTAGTGCTTATCTTGCAAAGCCTGAATGTGCTTCAGGCACAGAAGGAAAAGCACCAATCCCTCCTAAGGAGCTTTAATCATTAACCGTAGACGTCGTGAGTAGTGCAGCCATCTGGTCCAGGGTTGCACGTTGGCTCTTGGAAGTTAGCACACAGAAATCTGGAAAATGGCAGTGAAATCAATAGGAATCTGGCTGCTCTGTCAAGTGAGGAGGGTTTTATGGTACAAGCCAGCCACCCCTTTGCTAGGAAGGGCTCCAGAGAAGAAATTTGATGAACACTTCGCTCTTGTTTGGTAGGAGGAAGGTTAATTTTGGGGTGAAGGGCTTGATTCCAGGCCACTGAGGGGACAACAGACCTTTACAAAATATTCTGGTTAAATAGAGCCCCGAGTCTGGGGTTATTGTAAATCCTAGTTGCATTTGCTTTTTTGGGATCTCAAAGAAGAATGTTACAGTGGAAACTGGGGATCCTGCTCTTTACTAAAACAGCTACTTTAGTTGCTTCTGGTGTGGTCAGTCATCTTAATTAGTTGCAGCTGGAAACTTTCCACTGGGCGAATGCAGAGTCTGAGTTCTGCTTCGTGCAGATCTATTGAGATATTTAGGGTTACATTTTAACAAGCGGAAGCTTTTGTAGCTGTAAAATTGATGAAAATTTCTCTGCGTCGTTGCTGTTCTTTAAACACAGATCATCATCCACAACGAGCCAAACCCTGTGAAGCCTGGCGAGAAGCATTACAACATGGCCAAAAGCCATCCGGATGAGAAGAAAGATGCCTGGGATGTGAAAATGCTGCTGGAGGTAGGTTGTAGCCCTTAGCCAGTTGTGCACTGGTTCACAGAATCCCAGACTGGCTCAGGTTGGAAGGGACCCCTAGAGATCATCCAGTCCAACCCCCTGCTCCAGCAGGGACACCCAGAGCACGGGGCACAGGGCGGCATCCAGGCGGGTTTTGAAGACCTCCAGAGAAGGAGACTCCCCAACCTCCCTGGGCAGCCTGTTCCAGGGCTCTGGCACCCTCACAGGGAGGAAGTTCCTCCTCACCTGGAGATGGAACTGCCTGTGTTTCTACTTGTACCCATTGCCCCTTGTCCTGTCACTGGCCCCCACTGAGAAGAGCTTGGCCCCTGTATGGGAAGTTACTCACTTCAAACAGCCATTTATTAGTTACAGATGAAAGTCTATTTCTTCCACAGGATGTGGAGAAGTTACCCCAAGGAACACCAGTAGATGAGCAGTTCTGCGGTGTGGGGAGGGCCTTTGCTGTGAGGCTGCAGGGTACAGGCTGAGCAGCACTGCTAATGTGAGGCTCACGTCACAGCCTGGCCTGTGGAAATGCAAGATCCACAGAGAGGTGACGTGGGGCCCTGCCACCAGCTGCTTTATGACCTTGGTCAAATTATGGCCCTTGGTTTCCGCTCCCCCTGGAAAGGGGAAACGAATAAAGAGCTACATAAAACTGTGTGCAGGGAACTCGAGTAGCCATGTAGCTTTCTGTAGTTTTGTAGGAGAGAGAAAACAGCCCCTCATTTATAACTTGCTCAGCTCTACAAAATGTCTCCGTCATTAGATAAGCATTTTTATTAATATATTTCTGATATGTACCATAAAATGTTTTACTAAAGCTTGAGTTTTGCTTTTTTCTTTCTTTCTTTAAAGCAATTTAGCTTTGATATCGCTGAAAAAGCAGCTCATGTGTGCCTTGCTCATCTCTTTACCTACCAAGACTTTGATATGGGAACGCTTGGACTGGCTTACGTTGGTTCTCCCAGGCCTAACAGCCATGGTGGCATTTGTCCAAAAGGCAAGACTTTCATTTTTTTCTGCTTTTAAATATTTAACCTTTTGATAGCTTCCGTGGGCCTTGTTGGTGCCACTTGCATAGTCTGTAGTGGCATAAACCTGAACAGGAGGGATGGCCCTTGCCTGAAGAGGGAGGAGAAGGCAGAGGCCAGGAGGGCCTCCAGGAATCACTGGGCTTTCCGAGGTGACCCAGCTAGAAGCGCTGCTCTCGTCTCACAGCAATCCTGCAACTGCAGGTGCTGCTCTCTTAGGCATTTCTTGCATTCCTCCTTCCTGCAATGTTTGTGCTGTGCTTCAGAGATGCCCTTGTACAAGAACCGGGAAAAAGCAGGGTCTCACCCATGAGACCTTGTTATTTGTGAGCTGTTATTGCCCCAAACGTAGATTTTCCTCATCTTCCTTTCACCCACCCAAAGCCCCTGAGAAGAATATTTTACAACTGGACTCCTTTCTCTCTTGTTTCTGCAGCTTATTACAGTCAAATTGCCAAGAAGGACATCTACCTGAACAGTGGCCTAACCAGCACCAAGAACTATGGCAAAACCATCCTCACCAAGGTGGGAGGCCGCCCTCGCCCGCGGCCGTCAGCGGGGCTGGGTGGGAAGTGTTGGGTGGAGGAGCTTCCCTCTTGGTGCAATGTTTGCTTGGGACACGACACATTCCCAGGGCCTTTTGGAACAAGCTGCTGGCTCTGACATTGAGCCAAAACCCTGGGAGAAGAGTTCAGACCATAAAAACATTAATTTTTGTCCCTACTGGCAGGGGTGGGTCGGGACTGAATGGAATTGAAGGCTGACTGCACTGGGGAGCAGTAATGAGGGCCGCTCTGGTAGGTGCAGTCATCATCCAAACGTGAGCAGAAGTTTGGAAGCCAAAGATCAATCCAAATGCAGGTTGTTTGGGGGCAAAGAGAGGAGAAAACTCGAGAGCCACAAAATGTGGCAAGTTGACTCGCAGAAAGAATAAAGTGAGGCTGCTGACTGGAGTGAGAAGGACTTGGGCTTTCCTTTGCTTTTTACTATTGCACACACCTGCAACATGCACTTTTAAGACTGCTTTTCCCAGCAGAGGAAAAGTAGGAGTTTGGGAAAGTCTTTCCTACCTGCAGAGCGGAGTAGGAGGTTTAGTTTGGGTCCTTAAACAAAATTCCTCTTTATTTTTCCAAAATATATAAACTAGAGAACAATACAGGAGAGAGAGTGAGTTAGTGCTCTTACAAACTTCATGGAAATTGGTGGTGTCTAGAGCTGTTTCATGGCGGGGGAGACAGTAGGTTCCTGAAGCCTGGACGTGGTTCTTGCCCAGCTGGTAGGGAGAGCAGCGCGGAGCCTGCACTTGCCACTGCGGGCCCTTGTGGCTGGACATATTGAACATATTTTGCTCATTTCTCAGCCAGACTCTGCCTGATTTTAGAGAGATTCATAATTGGTGTGTGGGCTGAAACCTGGCACGGAAGCTGTCAAGAAGCTGGAAAAAGACACTGAGCCTTTGTGCTGGAGAGATGTTGACAAAGGCTGTAGCTGTTGCCGTATCCTTGGGGCTGGCTCTTCCCAGGCTGGAGCTCACCCTTGGGTTATGAAGGAAATACAGTTTGAAATTGAGTTTTTGCTTTGCAAAATGATGCTACAAATCCCCCCCATTGGGCTGTGTGTGTGGGGGTGGTTTTCCAAGCACTCTTGCAATAGGAGAGCTCATTCAGAGCTCTGAATGTCATCACCTGCTTGGAAGAAATAGTTCCAGTGCAAGAATTCTTGCACTGAGAGATGGACTAACCATAGGTAAGTTGTTTGGGTTCTTTTTTGTTTGGACTTTTCAACCATTGAGACTTTTCAGCTATTGGGAATTGAAGTTTAACACTCTCAGCACCTACGCTTCATTGAAATCAAAACAGAGCGAGTCCTAGGACAGCATTTTGCCTCTAGTAGTGGGATTAGCATTAAAACCTGGTCCTGGAATTCACCTTTGCAAGCATACTGTAGTTTTGCTCTCTTTCAATTCCTCTTTTTAGTAGGTATAATTGATTTTCAACAAAATATATTGGAAATGCAAGTGACCTGGGAGTGGTTGGGATCCTCTCTCGTGTCCTCTCAGACTGATCTGATTTTTAGCAGCATTTTTTCTTGTCTGCAACAGGAGGCCGACCTGGTTACAACTCACGAGCTGGGACACAACTTTGGAGCGGAGCACGACCCCGACAGCCTGCCCGAGTGCGCCCCGACCGAAGACCAGGGGGGCAAATACGTCATGTACCCCATCGCCGTCAGCGGGGACCACGAGAACAACAAGGTGCCGCCGGGTTTGCGCGGAGCTCTGCGGCCCTGCTGCCATCAGGGACCCTCTGCACTGGAAATGCAGTTAATGGTCCCTGTAGCTTAAGCAGCGAGCAGGTGGCAGCGTCTCCGTGGGCGGAGGACGCGCTCGCACGCGGTTCACGGCAAGACGGGCTCCTCTGGTTGCAGAGCTGCCCTGGGGCTGTTGGCAGATGGGCAGGCAGGGCTGTGGGCACCGTGTGTGGCCGTGGGGCAGGGCTGCGGGCGCCGTGATGGGCCTGCCTGGCTGCTCTGGCCTCCTTGCTTGGGTGGGCAGCGTGGCCGGGCCCTGAGCCCAGTGCCGTGTGCTGCAACACGGCATCCTCCCTTGTAGACCCACCCTATACTTGCCTGCCTCTAAATCCTCCCAGGATATCAGGATCCCAGTGTAGGGGGGATATCCACACCGAATCACAGACTGGTTGAGGTTGGAAGGGACCCCCAGATCTCATCTAGTCCAACCCCCCTGCTCCAGCAGGGACACCCAGAGCACGGGGCACAGGGCGGCATCCAGGTCGGTTTGGAAGATTGTTACCCATGTTGTCCATTTCCTTGGACTTTGGAAAATGGAGGTCTGACAACACCCACCCTGCCTTTGATCAACTTACTGCATTCCTCAGTGCTGCTGTTTCCCCTCTGGCTCTGCAGATGTTCTCCAGCTGCAGCAAAAAATCCATCCACCGGACCATAGAGATCAAGGCGCAGGAGTGCTTCCAGGAGCGCAACAACAAGGTGTGCGGCAACTCGCGCGTGGACGAAGGGGAGGAGTGTGACCCCGGCCTCCTGTACCAGCAGGCCGATCCCTGCTGCTCCGCCGACTGCAAGCTCAGGGACGGGGCCAAGTGCAGGTGAGCGGGGAGAAGCTGCCATCGCCCGCGGGGAGGAGCGGAGACGGGGACACAATGAGGAGGGCAACTGCGGCCTCCCAGGCTGCTTTCCCAGCTCCGAGGCTGAGCACGGGCAGGATCTTGTCCCCGGGTGGGTCAGCAAGGGAGGTAGGAAGAGGATCCAAGTGCCATGAGTGAATCACATGAGGTTGGAAGGGTCTCTGGAGACCATCTCGTGTGGGTCCCTGTGTTGTGTTCTCTGTGAGTTTCCCTCCTGGGGCAAGTGAAGAGCGAGTGTGCGGGAGGCAGGTGCTGGAGGACACGGAGGATGTGGTTTTGAGCGAGCGTATCCATCCCTGAGGAGTAGCTGTTTCTAACCACCCTCTCCCTGGCTCTGTCTCGCTCGTGCTCCCTTTCAAAGGACTCAGTATTTCTTCCTTTCGTTCTGATCTTTGCACAGTGATCGAAACAGCCCGTGCTGCAAAGGCTGCCAGTTTGAAAGTGCACAGAAGAAATGCCAGGAAGCCATAAACGCGACTTGTAAAGGAGAGTCTTTCTGCACGGGTAGGACGTTGTTGTGCCCCCTTTCCCGCAGGCAGCCAAGTGCTGTAGGCTCAACATCCTGCTCCATGTCCTGTTTCAAACTAGGGCCCTTTATTCATCTGGAGCATCTAATTTTAGAGGCCAGTTGAAATATCACCGAAGTGCAGGATAATGAAGCGCATTGTAGTTCAGGAGCCGCTTGGTGATGTACAGCCCAGGAAAACATGGAAAAAACATCTGAAAATGTGTGTGGAGAGGGTTGAACATTGGGAAGGACAGGAATGACCTGGCCCAGGGGCAGGGGTGATTCCTGTGGCTCTGCTTCACCTCCCCACCCGTTTGCTTCTTGCCCCATCTCCAGGGAACAGCAGCGAGTGCCCTCCTCCGGGCAACGCTCCGGACGACACGGTCTGCGTGGACATGGGCAAGTGCAAGGACGGGGAGTGTGTCCCTTTCTGCGAGAGGGAGAAGAACCTGCGCTCGTGTGCCTGCAACGGTGAGTGCAGGGGCTGCTGCCCAGCCCTGCCTTGGCTCCTCGGTGCCCTTGAGGCAGCTGGGAGCAGAGGAGAACCTGGCTGGAGGAGGGTGCCTGAAGGACTTGAAGTTCAGTCGTATTTGCTCATGGAAAGAGTTCCCTGCTGGGAGTTCTCAATGGTGGAGACTCCTTTCTCCCGTATTGATTCTGGTTCAAGCAGAGCTGAAGGTTGGAGCATCAGTCCAGCTCGGACCGTTGCTGCCCTGTGAGGCTCTTGCGGCTTCATTTCACGCTTGTCCCCCAGCCCCGAGAGGCGTCCCTGCTGCCCCTGGGCTGCCCCGCTGCGTCCCCACACGCGTTGCAGAGACGGGGCGGGCGGGGGGCCCAGGCTGGGAGGCTGGCGAGGCCCTGGGCGGGGGCGCGGGAGCCGGCCGGGCTCAGCTGAGGCCCCTCGTGTGCCGCAGAGACGGACAACTCGTGCAAGGTCTGCTGCCGGGACGAGCACGAGCGCTGCGTGCCCTACGTGGACGCCAGCCAGCGCTTCCTGTTCCTGCGCAAGGGCAAGCCCTGCACCGTGGGCTTCTGCGACACCAACGTAAGTGGCCCCGGCCCCGGCGAGCTGCGCGCCCCTCTCGGCCCGCTGAGGTGGTTACTCTGCTTGGGTGCTAAGTCCTGCCTGGGGAGGGGTAACCCCAAGCACCAGGACAGACTGGGGGTTGACCTGCTGGAGAGCAGCTCCATTCATGGAGAGGGAGCTGGTGGCCACCAAGTTGACCATGAGGCAGCAGTGCCCTCGTGGCCAAGAAGGCCGATGGGCTCCTGGCTCCATCAGGAGGATGTTGCCAGCAGGTCGAGGGAGGGGATCCTGCCCCTCTGCTCAGCTCTGGTGAGGCCACACCTGGAGTGTTGGGGGCAGTTCTGGGCTCCCCAGGACAAGAGGGATGTGGAGCTTCTCGAGAGGGTCCAGCAGAGAGTGACAAAGGTGGTTAAGGGACGGGAGCATCTATTGTATGAGGAGAGACCAAGCGAGCTGGGCCTCTTTAGCCTGGAGAAGTTTCAGAGGGGAACCTGATCAATATGCACAAGTACCTGAAGAGGGAATGTAGGGAGGAAGGGGCCAAGCTCTTCTCAGTGGGGGCCAGTGACAGGACAAGGGGCAATGGGTACAAGTAGAAACACAGGAAGCTCCATCTCCAGGTGAGGAAGAACTTCCTGACTGTGAGGGTGCCAGAGCCCTGGAACAGGCTGCCCAGGGAGGCTGTGGAGTCTCCTTCTCTGGAGATCTTCCAAACCCGCCTGGATGCCGCCCTGTGCCCCGTGCTCTGGGTTGGACTAGATGGTCTCTAGGGGTCCCTTCCAACCTCAACCATTCTGTGATGGAAGTTAAGGCCATCACTGCTTCAGGCTTTCTGGAAAAGCTCTATGTATCCCATGGAGTTTTTCTGGGAGTTCCAAATGTTAAAGGTACCTCTATTCGAGACAACCCTTTGCCACATAAAAGAAAAAAAAAATGGTTAAAACTGCTGTAGTGTAATGTTACTTTGTAAATACACATTTACTTCTGCAGGGCAAATGTGAGAAGCAAGTACAGGATGTGATTGAACGATTCTGGGACTTCATAGACCAACTTAGCATCAACACTTTTGGTAAGATTTTGGTATTTAGTGCCAGACATGAGTGTTTTTAAGGCCTGGGAGGGGGTAGCTGACTGTTTTTCCTCACCTGTAGATACGGGCAGTTCGCAGCTCTGGTGCTGACCCTTTTGCATCAGATCCAGCCAAACCCTTCCCAAATAACCCCGTAGCTTTCCGAGGCAGCATTAGGAATTCTGCGTGTTCCTCCTTTTTTTGGGCTTGATGGTTCCTATTCTAGAAAGCTTCATCTCTGACTACCAACAAAGCAGCTGCTTAGAGAAGGGCAGTACTGCTCTCTAGAGATATCAGCTGGTTGCCCTTTCAGTGGGGTTTGAATTCCAACAGAGGAGGAAATGAAAGTTGCATTCTGTTCTCACCGAACAAAATCACGGAGATAAGGCAGCCCAGGCCACGGGGCTGGGTCACTGGCCAGTGGCTGTGAACGTGCTCCCTGGCTCTTGTGGGTCAGACCCACAAGGTGTGACGGGATCTGAGATCTGAGCCTGGAGCTGCCTCAGAACACCGTGTTTCAGTGCAAAGAGTGGTATTAGGTGGGTGCTGTTGTAATGATAGTGTAACGATGGGTAGAGTTACAGTAATATTGTATAAATGCCCAGAGTAATGACGGGGGCTTGGGGCTTTTTAACTAAGGTCAGCACGATGATTTCTGAGGTGGATGTTTAGGCTCTTCATTGTTGGCTGTTTGGAAGTAGATCCAATGTTTGTGGAGGCACCTGGATGTCCTGTGCCTGTGAAACCGGCATGGGAAGAGATTCTGTGTTTCTGTGCCTGGGAGAGGGAGCTGGGCTCCCTAAATGGGGCCTGTTTCTAAGCCACTGATCTGCAACGCTGTGGCCGTGAGCAGGTGAACGTGCCGTGAACAGGGAGGCGCTCCCGGCGGGAGCGGAGGAGGATCCCGTTCCTCAGAGCGCGGCCAGCAGCGTTCTGTGAATGGAGCTCCCGCGTTGGCCGCGTCCCGAGCCGGCACCCGTCGGAGGCGGCTGCGTGTGCGGGGCCGTGGCAGCAGAGGGGAGACTTGTATCCAGGGCTGCCTCAGTAACGAATGGATTTGGTTTCCCAGGAAAGTTCCTGGCGGATAATATAGTGGGCTCCGTGCTCGTCTTCTCCTTGCTCTTCTGGATTCCTCTCAGCATCCTCGTGCACTGTGTGGTGAGTGGTGCCGCAGCGAGGGGTGGGCGCGAGGAGGGTCCCCGTGCTCAGCAGCACTCCCGGGGTGGATGGGAATGTGTGGGGTGCAGGTAGAGGGAAAAGAGCGCAGCTGCCTGCGGTGTCCCTGCCGGGAAGTGGGGACAGGCACCCTGCCGGTGGTTGGGGACCTAGTGCTACCGTGTGGTGTTATCTGATTAATATGTACATGAAGGGGGGACGTAGGGAGGAAGGGGCCAAACTCTCCTTAGTGACAGGACAAGGGGCAGTGGTCGTAAGTTAAAACACAGGCAGTTCCATCTGCATGTGAGGAGGAACTTCTTTCCTGTGAGGGTGCCAGAGCCCTGGAACAGGCTGCCCAGGGAGGCTGTGGAGTCTCCTTCTCTGGAGATCTTCCAAACCAGCCTGGGTGCCGCCGTGTGCTCTGGGTGTCCCTGCTGGAGCAGGGGGTTGGACTGGATGAGATCTGGGGGTCCCTTCCAGCCTCAACCAGTCTGTGATTCCGTGTTTGGGGGGTTCTCTGGCTTTACACTTGCTGGTTTTCCCAAACAGGACAAGAAACTGGACAAGCAGTACGAGGAGAACACCAAGTCGCTCTTCTGCCCCAGTGTGAGTTGCTCCCCGAGCGCGGGCGGGCAGGCCGCTGCGCAGCGTCGGGCTGCGTGACAGACACGGGGCGTCTGTGGCGCGTTGGGCGCAGGACTGGCAGGGGAGGCGACGTGAGGGGTCGTTCGGGGCAGGCTGGGGTCTGATGTGTTGTGCAGAGCAGCTTAGCGGGTCGGGCTTTCCCTTCCCCTGGGAGCAGTGTCATTTGGGGAGTCGACCTCCAGTGGCCCCGAGTGCTGAGGCCGTTTTGCTGCCCCTGGGATCCCCAAGGCGCGAGGAGCTGTCACGGGTGACACCTCTCCCTCTTTGTAAAGTGCTGCTTTGAGGGCGGGCATGAGAAGAGAATGGCCTAGATAAATAATCGTGGCCCAACCCAAGGCACCCAGCACATCTTTGGGGTACCCTGTCCCATGCTTCAAAAGCCCTGTTTTTATAATGAAAATGAAAGGTTCTTATGTGTGAGGGACACATCTGCTTGGGTTAGAAGGGAAGGAGGCCTTTCGGAGCTCTTGCTTTGCAGCTGGGGGAAGCTTGCTGGGGTCTGCAGACTTGTGAGAGCGACGCCTGTGTGGCCCGCTCTGAGGTAGCTGAAAGGATTGAGCCCCTTCCCGAGTCCGGAATCAGATGCTAGCGGTGCTCAGATCTCACCTTAGATCTTTAGATTTGAAAAGTCTTCAGTAAACCTCCCAGAAGCAGGTTGCGCAGCAGAGCCCGAGCACAACCGGCTTCTTGGCCAGCCGCACTTGAACAAGAGGGAACCTGGGCAGCTCCCGTGGCCGGAGGGGGCCGTGTGCAGGGCCGGCCGCGCCGGAGCTCCAGGTGCCCCGTGCGCTGTCCTTGCGCCCCCATATGCTGCCCTGGCCCCCCGCTGTGTCCTGCAGAACGTGGAGATGCTCAGCAGCCTGGACTCGGCCTCCGTGCGCATCGTGAAGCCCTTCCCGGCGGCGCCGTCCTCGAGCCGCCACCAGCCGCTGCAGCCCGTGGTGGCGGCGGCGGCAGCGCTGGCCCTGCCGCCCAAGCAGGACCACCAGCGGATGGACACGATTCAGGAGGACCCCAGCACCGACTCCCACGTGGACGAGGACGCCTTCGAGAAGGACCCGTTCCCCAACAGCAGCTCGGCTGCCAAATCCTTCGAGGACTTGACGGAGCATCCCGTCATCAGCCGGAGCGAGAAGGCTTCGTCCTTCAAGCTGCAGCGCCAGAGCCGCGTGGACAGCAAGGAGACGGAGTGCTAGGGGCGCAGGGCGCGCTCGCTCGCATCCGAAACCATTTCATTTATATAAATATAAATATATGTATATATATTTTTGTGAGGGAGTGGGAGAAATAAGGAAGTGACCTCCTGCAGATGCTGGTCATGTGTATGACCTTCCTTAAATTACGTTTAGAGCATTCTATCTTTTAAGAACCAAAATCCAAACTAAAGCCAGCTTGTTTTTTGGAAGCTTTTTGGATTATTTTGTCCTCTCTTCTTGACCTTTAACATTTCCTTCAACCTGTGGTACAAAACGGAGTATCCCTATGGATATCAGATGTGTATATCAGCCTTTTTTATAACTTAATGTTTTGTAGTCTGACAGCACTGATAGACAAAATCACGGTCTTTTTAACCAAAACGAAACACTGCAGTACTTGGAGTAGGTCATTTCAAGGTACATGTAAGCAAAGATCTAAATGTTACTGAGATATTGAGAACAAAGTGAGATTAATGAAACAGGTTTAAAAAAATAGCCTATAAGGAACATGTGTAATTGGAATCCAGGGATTTAAGATACGCAGCTTCTAAAAGCAGTCGTTGCAGAGGATGTAAAACCAAACAGTGCAAGCAAATGTTTCCTTGAATATAATTTTTAGGAAGGCAGAACTAATGTTGGGGTGCTCAAAGAGCAGAGCCTCAGTTTGCAGGGGCTCTTTGGTCTTTGGCAGCTCCTACTGCCCCTAAGTTATTGAGGAAAATACTGTGCTCCATTGCAGGGGCGTTGTGATTTGAAAACAGTGATAAAATGAACTCAAAAAGAAGTACAGCTTTGCTAAGCCTTGAGGGCAAGTGCTAAGGAGGATGCTTCTTGAATTCCCGTTTCTGCACATTTAAGACAATATAGTGTTAAAGTCTGTAGCTCTGGCAGTGTCCTCCAGGTGCTTGGTGTGAAGAGGGAGCTCCGGACAGAGCAAGGTGCCTTGGCTGGGAGGGAGGTGACGGGGCTCTCGGCAGAGGAACTGACCCCGCTGAGCGGCTGCAGCTCTACGGCCAGGGACCGCCCTTGGCTCTGGGTCTCTCCTCCCCGCCTGCATTAACAGAACTGACAGGAAGCTTCCACCAGCAGCAGAACCACTTCAGCCCTTCGGAACGGGTCTGCGCTCAGCGCCCAGCACCCCCTGTCCACAGAAAAACATGGTGTGTTTTTAAGGGTGAGAGTAAGTGATCCGGGGCCGTGAGACACCTGGGACAAGAGTCCCCGCGCGGGTGTTTGTTACACTAATACTTGAACGTGTGCCTTATGGTATTCCTGGCTGACTAGCTTTGTATTTTATAGACTGGTTTTGGTTTGTTTGGGTCTTGTGTTATTGGTGGTTTTTTTTTTTTTTTTTTTGATTCAGTGAAAAGTACGTGTGTGAGAGGAGTTAATTTAATTCCCAATACAATAAAAACTTTTTATATATAAAAAAAAAGGGCCTTTTGATTAAATGAGCTCTTTTGGTGCAGCTCTTTTAAGCGATCCAAATACTTCTTGTATTTTCTATCCATGTTTGGATAAGCCCAGGTTGGGCTTATTTGGGAGTGTGAAAACACATTTGGGGCAGAGAGCTATGGAATCACAGAATGGTTAAGGTTAGAAGGGAACTCCAGAGATCAGCTAGTCCAACTCCCTTGCACATGCAGGGATGCCCAGAGCACGAGGCACAGGACTGTGTCCAAGAGGGTTTGGAAGATTGCCAGAGGAGATTCCACAGCCTCTCTGGGCAGCCTGTTCCAGGGCTCTGGCACCCTCACTGTCAAGAAATGGTTCCTGAAGTTCCTGCAGAACTTTTAGTGCTTCAGTTGTGGCCGTTTCCTCTAGTCCTGTTAGTGTCCACCACTGAAAAGAGGCCGCCCCCTCCTCCTCACTGCCTCCCTTGAGGTATTTACAGACACTGATCAGGTCCCCCCTCAGCCTTCTCTTCTCCAGGCTGAACAGGCCCAGCTCCCTCAGCCTTTGCTCATAGGGCAGATGTTCCAGGCCTCTGATCATCCTAGTAGCCCTGCGCTGGACTCTCTCCAGCAGCTCCACATCCCTCTTGTCCTGGGGAGCCCAGAACTGCCCCCAATACTCCAGGTGCGGCCTCACCAGAGCTGAGCAGAGGGGCAGGATCCCCTCCCTCGACCTGCTGGCAACATCCTCCTGATGCAGCCAGGATCCCATTGGCCTTCTTGGCCACGAGGGCACTGCTGCCTCATGGTCAACCTGGTGTCAACCAGGTCCCTCTTGGCAGAGCTGCTCTCGAGCAGGCCAGTCCCCAGCCCATACTGGTGTCTGAGGTTATTCCTACACCTCTTTGCTCTCTATTCTGGGAAGTGCCACTCAGGCACTTGCAGAGTTGTGCTTAAGCACCCAAAGCAGCAGCTCGGTGGACCTGCCTATTTTGCTGCCTATTTTGCTGCTGTCTGCTGTTACAGGAAGGGCCACCCCAGTTTGGTGTTTCTGAACAAAGCGCCCGGCCCTCCGGCTGCAGCTGAATGGGGTGAGTTAGTTACTGCCCAGCTCAGAGCAGTGGTGCAGTGGAGGGTGGGGCATGGGCTAACTTGTCTTATTTCTTTAATGAAGCAAAGGCTGTTGCTCTCTTGGTGCTGTTCAAAGCAGGACCTCTTGATGATCTTGCCTCACTGCATTTTACCCAGTATGGGTTATCCCCGACCTGAGATTTTAAGTGACATCCTAGGAATGTCATTTTAAGGCATTACCCAATAGTAGCCTCCTGCTCGCAGGCTGCCTTGCTGCTTCAGTGCTTGCTGAGCTTCCTCCTTCCCTGTTGCTCTTTGCTAGCAGTTTTATACTCTAACTGCATTCTCTTGGCTGAACTTAGAGCAGGATGTCTGTCCTCTTCTCTGCTGTTACCCTGTGGGTGAATACATGGGTTAGGAAGTGGGGAGAGTTGCAGCCGTGAGGCAGCCCCCCAAACCCCTTTTCTGGACGCACGAGCATCACGAGCTCCTGTGCGCTGGCAATACTGGGGTTTGTGCAGGTACACCTAGAGCTTTGAACGCAGTGACTGCAACCAAGAGGCAGGCACAGAGGCAGAAGCTGGTGTGTTTAATTTCAGGACCCCCTGCTCAAAATTACAGCATAGCACTATGCAAATCCTCACCACAGTTCCAGTAATTGCTTTGAGCGGTGGTCAGCAATAAAATCAAAGAAATTGGCTTGACATTAAGTGGTTGACATGAATTGGACTTGATATTACTACTACTTCCATGTCCATCAGAGACTCTCTCTCCCCGCCACGTCTTCTAAGGAAGGTGGAGTTCAGCGGCAGCCACGTGAAACCGTGACAAGAGAAGTCACTGCAGGGAAGCTCTCTGAAATGCCTGGTCTTGGAAGCAGGAAGGGGTGCAGGGCTCTGCTCAGGCCTGGCTCTGCTCAGGCCCGGCTCTGCTCAGGCCCGGTTCGGCCCTGCCCGCTGCACCTGGCTAGGGCTCTCCCAGCAGGCTGCCCTCGGGGCTGGCGGCGTCCACGTCGCGCCAATAGGGCAGCAGGAAGGGCAGGGCAGACACCTGCTTTTCCAGGCATCCCCAGAGCTGGGCTGTTAGGAAGTTATTTCCTTCTGGTGATAAATGCAGCCCATCGGATAAATAGCAGGAGAAATCCTAGGGGGAAGGTTAGAACATGCATGAATATATTTGCTATTTAAAAACACAAGAGCTTGCCTCATTTTTAGACTTTTCAAAACGATAAATAGACTATTTTTATTTTGCCCTTTTAACTACAATTTTAAAGAATGTTCCAGCGTCAAAAGTAACTGCTACTCATTACAAAACTACCCCATGCTTAAGTGGTATAATAATCACAGTACTGAGTTTAGAGCCAAGATTCACAGTGCCCCAACTGGAGTTAGTTAGTTGTTTAAGGGCAGGGGGTGAAGTCTTTGTCAAATAGAATATTGAGGATGTTCAGTCAAAAGCCTAAGAAAAACATCCTGATGCGACTCTGAAGGAGCCCAACTCCGTGCAGGTGGCGGCACTGGATGCCTCCAAAGGAGCCTTCCAACATAACCTATTCCCCCCTGCAAAGGGCTGCTTACATGGAGCGCAGCCAGGGGCCATTTACTAACTAATTTTTATGGTCAGGCTGTGTTAAGATTTTTTTCCATGTGCCATATGAAGCATTCTGGGTTTTCCCCCCCTTCCCCAAAAGGCCATTTGGGTGTGTTTTGTATGGTTATAAGGGCAGCAGCACTGGTCCCTCCATGCAAAATGAGGCACCTGGCAGTTCCAGAGCATCTCTCAGGACGTCGTACCTGGTTTTTTTGCATCAGTGTCCACAGGTCCACAACCGCGGTGCCGCAGTCCCTGGCCACCTGGACGCAGGCCTTGGCGTATTCCCCAGTGACGGAATTGCGGCGATTCAGTTTGTCACCTACCAGACACCCCCCACACACAAAGAAACATTTTAGGATCAAGGCAGGCTTGATTTCAGTTTTCTGGGGTACACATGATGCTTAGCAACTGGTTAAACCAAGCAGCCCTAGCAATTACATGCCAACATCTCCATTTAAAAGTGGCTGGAGTTGCAGCTCCTTGGAGGTACTGCTCATCAGGTGAGACATTTGGAGGTAGCAGCAAGAAGAACCACCCTGGTTCTTCTTGGATGCCGCCCTGTGCCCCATGCTCTAGGTGCCCCTGCTTGAGCAGCAGGGTTGAGCTAGATGAGCTCTACAGGTCCCTTCTAACCTCAGCCACTCTGTGATTCTGTGAACATGGGGCAATGGAGATTTCTGTGCTGCCTGGCCTCCTGGTAAGCTTTAGGTAATGTCTTTATATACCTACTTTTGCCACACAGAAAAGAATTAAGTAAAACTAAGCGATTTTCACAGCCTTGCCTTCCACTTTCTGAATGACATGCGCCATTTGCCAGCTCCTTGCATTAGTTCCCATTAAAATGCTGGTGAGAGCAGCAGGCGCAATGGGCACAACGCATCACTAGAGCGCCCGGATGCAGCAGCTCAGTTACACGGGGTGTTCAGTAGGTGCTCAGCACCAGGGTAAATCAGCCCTTTCGCACAGAGTGCAGCGCAACACCAGGGCAGAATATTACTGAGCTATGATTTTTGGTTTTTTAATGGAGCCTACAATTCATCAATTCCTACTCCGCTCTTTCCTCAGGACACCAGTACAGCTGATGATTCACACTGATGATTCTCACTTCTTCACACTGCCACTTTTCCCTCCCAGCAGCAGGTTTCTCATCGTAAATGTTCTCTGTAGCCTTGCTGAGCCTTCCTGTCCCATTCCCCACGGTGGGGATGTTTCCAGTTCCACTTACTCCGCAGTAGATTGAGAGGCCCTTAGCTAAGAGCAGGGACAAATAGGAGCTTCTCAGTTTAAGAACACACACTGCTTCCTGGAAGGTCTAAAATGTTCCCATTTTCTGGTAAGAGGATCACGAGAATTTGAAAAAATCACTCAGCATTTCTTTCATTATTATTTATTTATTTTAAATGAGGTATTTCATATTCAGGGCTTCCTTGGCTTGCTTTGAAGCAGCAGAGCCTATTTCCTCACCTTGATTAGATTTTTTTTTCTTCCCTCTGCAAGATCTGTCTCATTTTGGCCAACTGGCTCCCAGCCCATCCCCGACCCTCCTCCTGGCTGAACAAAACAGAACCTGCAACAGCTGCTTCTGCAGCCACTCGCCCTTCCTCACTGCTGCACACACTGAGCTGCCCTGCCAATTTACCCCCAGGCTCTTCTTCAGGACATCTCTTTTCAAACCTTCCTTGCCCATCAGTGCTGCTGACGCTCCCGTTCTGCAGGAATCCGTTTCACCTTCACAAACACAAACTTGCCCAGTTCTCATCTGCACAACCTGCCCACATCCACCTACATCCACACCGGCTACAAAGGCCAGTGGGGCCCAGCTCTCCTCAGTGGCAGCCCTAAGTTGCTCTTGGGGAGTTTCAGAGCAGACCTTAGGACACCTCCCTCCCTACCAGGGAGTGGGGCAGCACTGAAACAACCTCCCAGACAGGAGTAGAGTGGCTGTTCTTTGAGGTTTTCAAGCCACAGCTGCATAAAGCCATGACTGACTGAATTTCACCCAGCTTTGAGTGGTAGGCAACAGTAGAGACTTCCAGATAGCTAAGATGTTGCTCCAGGCAACACCACTCCCTACTGAGACTGTGACTTCCCCCAGCTGGCACACAGGCCTGGCTGAATCTTCAGCCAAGATTTAACCAGTCTCCCTTCACACCTGGATGAATCATCACCTGTGAACACCAGCAGCTTCGAGTTTCACATGCCTCCTCTGCTCTGGCATCTATCTGGCAGAAACAAAAATAAACAGAAAGCTTTTCCTTACTCCTGCTTGGCACCTGAGGATCGGACAGATCTTTCCGAGTTCCAGATTAAGCTGTGAAAGCCACTGAATGGTCAGTGACCAGAATGGAAGGTGCCCACTGCAGGACACCGCTCTCCTTCGTAATAAGCAGAATCCATTTTAATGCCTTTTCAACATCTGGTCATGTACAGAATGCTCCTGCTTTGACTGAATACACAGGACATGCACTAAAATAGAGAAAACCTTGCAAATACTAAAATGACCCCTCTTTATTTACCCAAATCTAACTCAAAAATGCAGTGCAAGAACTGAACAAACTGTTCAAATGCAACAGAGGACACACACTCAGAGGGTGTAAACTGTCACTGCTGGAGTCAGGGAGATTAAAGCAATTTCCACCTGCTCAGCGACACAAAGTAAACACTGTTGTTATGTCTCTATTGCAAAGAATGAGTCTGAACAGTAAGAGTGACTTTAGAATCCACAGACTTGGATATTCCTTCTTTGGATTTTAATTTAAAGCAGGTAGGATATTATTGCTTATGCAAGCAGATGTGAAATAGTCTGTAAATATTAGAAAGTTTTCTAAGACACACAGTGACAAGAACTGTTACACTGGAAGCTGCCAGGACGTGGTGTACTCTGCTCAGGACATCTAGATCCCTTTCCAAGAGCTCCGAGTTGCTTCCAGGACACCACTTTTTGAGAAACACTCTCTGGTCTTGGTAGACAGCCGCTTCTATCAATGGGATTTATGCAGCAGCAGAGCAACCAGCACAGCACTTCTAAAGGGATCTTATTAACTAATTGTGGGTTGCTCAGCATCTTTCAGATGGCAGCTAGCAGCCATTTCCCATCAACGTGGAGACCACAAATGCAGCCCGGCACAAACATCGCGCTAGTAACTGTCAGTCTGGGAGCACAAACTTACACTCTCTGGGGAAAAAAAAGGAAATTTTGATACTGTTATCATTCTTTTACCTTTGGCAAGACACTCCTTCTCCCAAGCCGACTCCTGAAGAGGAGGTGGTGTTATCAAAATAATCCTGTCTTCGGTGATGTCTACTGATTTCAGGTACTGCACCATGCTCTTTAAGTTTGCAGCATACTCCTCCAAAGGAACGTGTTGCTTGGGATTCAGATCTGTTAGGGAGTAGGGCAGATGTATTATTCCCATGATATTATTATTCCCATGCTGCTCACAGAGTTATTACACAACAACTGAGATGATTTTTACACAGGACACAAATGAGGGGCACTCTTCTTACTCCTTATTCACAGCAGTAAACTGCTCACCTCAACCATTAATTCAGGAGGTGTCACTGCAAAGGCAGCACCTCAACAACCAAAGCACAAAAGCAAGGCTTAAAATAGCTCATGCAGCTAATACAAACGAGGAAGACACCTTTTTTTTTTAGATTTTTTTTTTTAAAAAAAGCTTTTCCTCAGAACGCCACATCTTGGCATTAAATTACATAATAATTACAAACTCCACCTGAAACAAAAATGAGAATTTTTAACTCTCTTGAACAGAGAGCAAATGTTGAAAATTCAGGCAGACTCTACAAAGAGTCAGTCCTCTGGGCACAGATCTCATCATTTTGATTAAAGTGGCTCTGTTTGGCAGCTGTGGGTCTTTACGAGAATCCAAATGCTCCATTCCCTCATTTCTTGATTCATCCACCAGGCTACTTCAAAGGCAGAAAGAGCAGCCAGATTCCCAACTCTGCTTTTAAGTGTGGGATACCTGACTGATTCTTTGGCTCCCTGACACTTCTATTTACCATTCAAAGTTGCTCAGAGAGAGAGAAGGTGGCAGGGCATGATTCTAAAAACAAAAACAAAATAATTGAAAAGAATTAACAGCAAAAAATAAAAAAAAAAAAAAAAAGAAAGAAAGAAAGAAAAGAGCCAAGAACCTGTCCAAGCAACATTCTATCTTTTCTGACAAAATATGTAACTTTCTTAGGAAGACAGATGATGGGGAAAGAAGTAAAGTGTACCTTTCAAAGCACTGTCATTAGCACCGAAGAAAATAGTAACGGCCACAGTGCTCTCGGCACCGGCACTTTTACTGATCAGTCTCGGCAGGATCAGTTTAGCCCATCTCGTGTTGTACCCTGAGAAGCCACGATTTACAACATCACATTTTCTGAAACACACATCAGAAAGAAAATCTCTCCCCGTGAGAACAGAGTTTTAGACACTGGAATCATTCAGTTAGGACCCCTGCCTCTGTCCCTCTCAGAATCACCGGGATTTCATGCGTGAATCCTTTGGGACCATAATTTTATGTTTTGAGAGTGTACAGAAGTGCATGTACAGCATTAATGTGTCGAAGCATGAAACCAGAACCATCATTTGATAATCAAGGAACTTCTCTTTCCACTCCAGCTTTGCAGTACCCTCCAGCAAATATTTTCACCAGCGCCAGGGGGAAACCACTTAGGCAGCCCATGATAATAAACAAGCAAATACTTCAGTAATGTTAACAAGTAATTCAACAGAACTTATTCGTGCCGGTTTCCTTCAGCTTCCAGATTGCCGCACGGGCTTCTTCCACGCTACAAGTTCACTTCTTACAGGCTAGAAGTTCTCTTCTTGCCCTTTCCTGAGGTCTTACCTGACGAGCCTGTTGGCGAGCGTGGCTCCCCAGCCCTGGTCCTGGAAGCAGTGCTGCGTGCAAGGAACACGGTGAGCCCCGAGCCGCGGCCGGCACTCGCTCCCGGTGCCCGCCCGACTCCCTTCACCTTCTCCTGCCCCACACCTTCCCCGCTCACGGGCAACCCGCATGCATGAGGCCCCTCGTGCTTCCCCAGGGTGTTTCTTAACCTGCCGGCAGGCCACACTTCTTTTTTTTTTGTCCTTTTCCTATTTTTTTCTACCACCTTTTTGCTGCAACTTCACTCTGGAAAGCCACTCTCAATAATCCTCCCTCACTCAACAGGCTATTTTAGAGTGCAGCTTGGTAATTTAGCCGGTTTAACCTGCATATTCCCACTGCTATCCCATCCTATTGGATACGATGGGTCGCCGGCCTTTGGAAGTGCACACTGAGGTGGCTCGGACAACTAATCTTCCTTTAAAGTAATCTTGTTTTTATTTAAAGTTAAATCATTTTCCCTGAGAGCAGCTCTCTGATCCTGCTCACTGTGTGGATGTAGCAGTGCAAGAGAAAGCAAACAGGGACCCAAAAGGTCCACCAGAGGCTGGTGCCATCATGGAAGGAAACGTCCTTCACACGCAGAGCAGCCCCGCGCTCGGCAGCGGGGGCTCGGCCTAACGGCAAGCCCTGAGCGCGCGTTAACCCAGCGCCCACACAAAGCGAGGCCGAAGTCCGCGCCGACCGGCCAAGGGTGGATGAAACCTCCCCCGGGGCAGGCAAACGGCAGCGAACGGCAATTTCTAGGGGGGCCTGGGGCTCTGTATGAACTTTATAAACGCCTCGTTCTCCCGGGAAGCGGCGCCTGCTGCGCGCTAACGGCCGCGCCTGCTAATGGCCGCGTCCGTTAACGGCCGCCGCGCGCGCTAACGGCCGCGCAGCCGCTACCTCAGTGATGGAGTCCCCGAAGAGGACGACGCGGGGCCAGCGCAGCAGCCGCCCGCGGGTTCCCGCCTCCGCCAGCGCCATGGCCGCCGCCGCCTGACACCCGCCCGCTCCGCTCCGCCCTGCTCCGCCCGCGCCGCCTTCTTCCCGCCGGCCCTGCCCGCAATGGCGCCCCCGGCTGGGGGAAGCGGGTGCCGGGCCGGCGTGACCCCCGCCTCGGCCCGGAGCCGTCGAAAAGCGCCGTTATTGACGTTAGCCACGCTGTCGGGTTGCTCTCTGCACCGCTCTGCAGCGAACGCAAACGATCGGAATTGCAGGCTACGTAAAAAAGAGCTAGTCTAGGTAACCAACGCACAGTGAATGGAAAACGGGTTTTTTCCCTCACAAATCAGATTGTGTGAAAAGACTTCTTCCCTCACACATAAACGTCATTTTTTCCCTTCCACAGACTTCCTAAAGACCTCTTTAAAAAACAGTACATTCTTACTTCATGAGCCAGTGACACACATCCCGAGAACAGATGTACACATGTATTGCACTGATACTTTATTATAAAGACCCAGGACAATTTAAACTGCTGAGAAAAGGAGGGGAAAAAAAAAAAAAAAAAGCCTGCTGTGTAAATGAAGCAATTGCACCTTTCTGCTCTTTTATGGAAAACCCACTTCAGGCGAGCATTTTTTGAGTGGTTTACCCTTCAACAATTAACTCAGATATCATATTGAAAATCCTGAACTCTCTCTGAAATTCAATATATAGTGAATTCTTGAATATAGCTGCTTGAAATACTTTTCTAAATACTGCAGTTTCTGATACCCCATCTCACTCTGTTCTGAACCACCATTTCACTAGAGCTGGGGCATGCTATGGTCAAAGAATTACTGAAAGGGACCATTTGCACCTAAAGCTGTTGTGACCCTGACTCTTGACTTCTCCCAAAGCTAGTTTGTTCATCTAGAGCAGTCAATGACAACAACCCCATATGTGGTTTTACAGCTCCACTTAAACTTAGTCTACCAACATGGATTACATTTTAAATGTGTTCAAGCTCCTTTGATTTCAAGCATATAGAAACCTGCAAGTCAAAGGCTTCCCAACAAGAATAAAAGTATATACAAACTTGACAATAAAAATATATACAAACTTTAAGCATTAGCATCCTTAAATCGCTGATATGCAGTTTATCCTGTAACTGTTCATTAAACTTAAAAAAAAAATATGCAGAATTGCCTGCATTTAATTTCACAGAATCACAGAACAGTTGAGGTTGGAAGGGACCTCTAGAGATCATCTAGTCCAACTCCCCTGCTCCAGCAGGGACACCCAGCGCATGGGGCACAGGGCGGCATCCAGGTGGGTTTGGAAGACCTCCAGAGAAGGAGACTCCACAACCTCCCTGGGCAGCCTGTTCCAAGGCTCTGTCACCCTCACGGTCAAGAAGTTCTTCCTCACATGGAGATGGATGCCTTGCACCACCAAGAAGAGTTTGGCCCCTTCCTCCCTACATTCTCCCTTCAGGTGTTTATACATATTGATCAGATCTCCTCTGAACCTTCTCTTCTCCAGAGAAAATAGGCCCAACTCACTCAATCTCTCCTCATACAAGAGACATTCCCGGCCCTTAACCATCTTTGTCGCTCTCCGCTGGACCCTCTCTAGAAGCTCCACATCCCTCTTGTCCTGGGGAGCCCAGAACTGCCCCCATACTCCAGGTACGGCCTCACCAGAGCTGAGGACAGGGGCAGAATCACCTCCCTTGACCTGCTGGCAACACTCCTTCTGATGCAACCAGGATCCCATTGGCCTTCTTGGCCATGAGGGCACTGCTGCCTCATGGATAACTTAGTGACAACCAGGACTCCCAGGTCCCTCTCTGTGGAGCTGCTCTCCAGCAGGTCGACCCCTAATCTGTACTGGTGCCTGGGGTTATTCCTCCCCAGGTGCAGGACCCTGCACTTGTCCTTATTGAACCTCATGAGGTTCCTCTCTGCCCAACTCWCCAGCCTGTCCAGGTCCCTCTGGATGGCAGCACAGCCCTCCGGAGTGTCGGCCACTCCACCCAGCTTGGTATCATCTGCAAACTTGCTCAGGGTGCCCTGGGTGCCCTCGTCCAGGTCATTGATGAACAGGTTGAACAGCACTTGGGGACACCACTGTCCACAGGGCTCCAGCTGGACTTGGCCCCATTTATCACCACCCTCTGAGCTCTGCCATCCACCCAGTTCTCTATCCACCTCACCCTATTTCACAATTCTCTTTTAGATATCATGTCAATCCAGAGCAGGCTAAGATTTTTTTTTTCTTATTTGCTGTATGTGCACATTAATACAATTAAGAGTTTGCATATGTTTTTATGATGCAAATGTACAAATATAGTTGCTATGAGATTGCTCATTCCTTATTTAAAGCAACTCAGCAGTTTTACAATTCGAAAGTTGGTACATTTGAATTACTGAAGAAAAGTTTTATTTTACTAAAAAATAGTCCAAGTAAATTGAACATTAAAAAGATTTTTTTGGGATGTATCCTAGATAGCTACAGAAGTCACTATATTGGGTTGAGGGCATCATAGAGCCTCTGAGCAGCCAATTCCACCATTTCCCGAAGGGATTCGTCATCTTCACTTCCCGGCTCACATTCAACTGTCTGGAGGGAGAAAAAAAGGTATGTTAGAATAACTAGCATATTCCTTTAGAAAACAAAACAGACATACTGTGAGTAGCATTAAGCATTTCTATAGTTGCCAGACAAATTTAAAGGTAAGTTAGCATAGCTGCACCATAGGTTTTTAGACAGTCCACCAATGTGTAAAAGAGTTAAGTAAAGATTTACATAAGTGTTGCTGTGAAATGAGAAAATTAATATCAAATTTTAGTGTTTTTGGAACAAGCAATTAAACATAAGTAAAATACACTACAATTGATTCAAAGCAAAAAGGAACAAATAAAAACACGCAGTTCAATCCCTGGAGATTTCATTTTACCTGTGAAGTTGTTTGCATTGTCTTAGGCTAATATTTATAATGTGGATTCATCACAGAGCCCAGGCATCCACACTCAGGCCCTCTCCACAGTGATGGTCTCACACCTATAAATTCACATTCCCAAGCCTGCCATGCTAACACAGAACGTAAAATAAGCATTACTAGTTCTCCCTGTTATGGCTGAACTGACTTTAGGGTTTCTGCAAACAGGCTTAACCTGCTTTCTCTCCAAGTATAAGCCATTTCCTTAGTATATAGGTACACGATATTCTAGGCAGCCCTGCATATTAGAGACATATTTCTGCTAGAGACACGTTTCTGCTCTAAATAACTTAGGTAAGGTGCTTTGCTGTACATACCCGAGTGTCCAGGGAGATGCTTGCAGTTTTTCCATCCACTGTGACACACAGGACAGAGCCATCTTTTGAACTTACGCAGTCTTCCCCAAACATGTCCCTAGAACAGAGACCTCTAAGTATAAAGCATGGCCAAACAGCACTCTTCTGTTTTCATTTCATGTTAATCTTGGGCTTTCTACGGCATTTTCTCAGTACTATATCTCCTTTCACATGCTATTATTCAACCCACTCAAATTTAACTAACAATATCCATCTATTTTTTAATGAAAGTGGATGCCACATAAGAATTATACTGAAAAAAAAATCTTATTAAGGGGGTGCCTTTGACTTCAAAAGACATGTTTTTTTTCCCTAATAGAACATACACCAGAACAAGTTTTAAAACAGACATATTTCAAATTATAGTATTTTCCTAAGCAATCACAGCACAGTTTTGGGAGACAAACAGTTTATAGCTCCGCTTCTGGGAGGAGCAACTGGCCTCAGATTGAAAATTTTAATGATAATGGGAATTATTTAACTTAGACCTTAATTCCTGGTCTTCACAAAATTTAGACTGGTGTAGATTTGCATAAAAATATTTTCAAAACTACATCTTTAAACTGCACTCTGCTAAAATTACCATACTTTCTTGAGCAACATTTTTAATTAGAGAAATAGGTCAACTTACTGAAGCATGATCTCCATCCTCTTCCTATACACCTCCGCATCTACCTTTTTGGCAATCTTTTGTACAGCAGCTGAAAGAGAAATTATTTTCAGACTTTTGCTGGGGGAAGATTAGTTAACTGACACCATCTGGTTCCTAAATGATTGCTATGAAGAACAATCTAAGAGGTAGGTATAAAGTCTTTATTTATAAAGGAGAAAGTAACAAATGAACAGAAAAAGTAAGTCTAATTTTCCCATATTTCTCTGTTTTCATCATTTGTTTATATTCCCTCCACTTTCTCTTGTTTATAGGATAATACTGCACCATGGAGCCCATGAGCATAATGTAAAACTTCTAATTTAATATGATCACGACTCGTATTGCAATTTTTTTCTATAAAAATGAAGGGTATGATTACATAACACTCTAGGAACAGAATTTGGGGTTTGACTTCAGTGGAACACATCCATTGAAGATAAATAATGCACTAAGGTGTATACTCAACTGCCACTAATTTCACTATCTATGCAAGGGTAAATAAAGGCAGAATTTAACAGGCTCTTTGGTAAGTAAAATAAGTCTGTACATTCCTAGTACAGATGCAAGTAGTGCTAAAATAGTGATTTAAAGCCCCACAAACTATTTTTTGGGGATAAATAGGACTATCATTAAATTATCTGTACTTCTGTGCTGCCAAGCTGCCAACATCCATCTTCACTGTCACAGAAGAGATGCCAACCCCATGTTCAATGCTTGTGCTGGATTTTAAGCATAGTAAAATACATACTCAAAACCAAAACAGCAGAACAAATAATAACAGAAATTATCATCACTAATTACCTCAATAACATTGCTATGATACTTGGGACAGCAGGGCCCAATGCAGGATCTGATACTGCAAGTAGCACCCGATGGCCCTGCCTGTTCACAGGCTCTGCCTGAGTGTAACTGGGAATTAGTCAGACTTTTTCCAGCTTTACCTACTGCTTTCTGTCCTGCTGCCACGGGAATGCCCCTCATCAACAGTAACCATAACTTCCAGAAGAGCCATTACACTGTTTAGATGAGCATGAATTCATTGCCTAAGTCA